ACTACACCTACATATTATATATATATATATATATATATATATATATAAATATATATTATATTAGGCGAAGAATTGGCGCGTACACACACCATACTTGTTTTCACGATACAAACCCACAAACCCACGCAATCATACCCCGCCCCACACCCACGCCACACAGCAACTGAAAGTGCTGACCGAAATATTAGGGCCGGAGCTCAACTTTGAGCGCTATCGAGCAGAGCTGCTACCGCTTAGAGAAGGCATCCAGGCTGTCATCCCCTTCTTGGGCATGTATTTGCACGACATGGTGTACCTGGACGATGCCATACCCGAGAGAACGGAAGATGGCCTTATGAATGGTCGCAAGATTGCGGCGCTGTCAAACATGTTCACCTCCTTTGTGCAGGTGTGTGTGCGTGTGTGTGTGTGTGTGTGTGAGCGGTGTGATGGGCTCGAAGGAGCGTATCAGATTGTGTCGGCCCACCTCTACTACTCGAGGGAGAATTTCTCTGTCACGAGTGTGTTTGACCTATTGTATAGTAATGTATTGTATAGTATAGTATAGTATAGTATAGTATAGTATAGTATGGTATGGTATAGTATAGTATAGTATAGTATAGTATAGTATAGTATAGTATAGTATGGTATAGTATAGTATGGTAGTTTGTGTCGGTTTTCTCCTCATGGAGCGAAGGTTCGGCTTGGATACGAGGATTGTATGGGCGCGCGTGTGTACGGGCCTTAGTGAGTAGTACTGTTGTCCTTAAGCGATTGAACCACTATATCTGTAGTCCACTAGTAACCAGGATGAAGCGTTCATGAATGGGAGCTCGTGTGTGTGTGTACGTGGGCGATAGTGTACTGGTACAATTGATTGACCCTGGCTCTGTATGCGTTCAAGCATGCATGGAAATCACGGGCTGTGGAGTGTATGTACTATTTGCCGCGGATTCTCTATACATTCTTGACAATTACAACTCAACGCCATCTCAACAATCTCTATTTATATATCGCCACTCACAACCTATTCATTACTCACGGTATGTATACTCTCCACCGAGTCCCTCAGTAATGAAAACTTATCACATCATCACACATGAAATTGATACTAACCACCCGAGTTCCTTTGAAATGTCTCTATTCACATCACAGTGGCAGCGAGGCTGGCAATTCCAACCGTCGATCGAGTCTATCAATCGACGCTTCTTGTAAGTCATTTTGTGATTATTTGATGTTTCGTATATTTACACATACAAACCCCCCCCCCAACACACATACCAACACACACACACACACACACACACACACACACAC